GGGAGCCAAAAGTTATACATGAATTTTCAACCAAGTGGGGGTCAGTGCCCTTAGCTCCTGTGCTGAGTCAACTGTATTAACATACAATTTAATAAAAATTTTAAAAGTTGTTTTAATGGTTTATCTAAACAAAAGGGCTGGTCTAATTTATTCTCTTTCTCAGCATTTCAAATGGGTCACTTTTGTCAATTCAGTAAATTTATTTTAATATTTTATTTATTTAGACTCTAATAGTGATGCTTTCTAATTTACAAATTAATGGTTATTTTTACACCTAAGTCTATGAAATAGGTTAATTTCCAGAATGCTCCAGACTTCCACTCTAAAGATTAACACTCCCTTATATCACCACATTTTCTGAAACCCAAATGTTCTACTTTCTTGATTTCTAAACCATTATTCTAGTTGGTTATATTAACAAAAATTAAATAGATACTAATAACAGTTATTTTTCCATTGTAAATAATTAGTCCATATCATAAATATTTTTATTCACTTAAGTGTGGTGATAATAAAAAGGTGTCACTTCATTTTAGACCAGTGGTTCTCAACCTAGCTTTCATTATCATGCCCCAAAGGAGCCTCACTAGTCATTTTTTTCATAACCATCCCTACCATGAAATTTTAATTCTATGAATATACTGTATGTACAGATGCACTGTGTGATTATGTTTTCCTTACACATAAAATGAATAGGATATTTTTGCTCCTCAAAAACCAATTTTCATCCCCTTATGGAGAAATGAGTGCTTTAGATACATATTTCTGTGGAATATATTTACTTAAGTATCTAATTAGATATCTTGTGGGCTATCCTACAAAACAATTTATGATTGCCTTTTTTTCCTTTGGTACTCTTTTCCCCTAAAAACAAAGTTGAATTAGAAAAACCTTACTAGTTTTATTATTTTTTTCTTGAAGTCAGATACTGTTGGGTTGACATCAATTTTCTTTTTGCTCTAGTTTCCTCAGTACAGTTTCTCTCTAGAGAAATAGTCACAATGGTTTCCCTGTATTCTTTCTCATGAAGTGGCCTTCTTATAAATTAGGCATAACTTCAGAAGTGCATGTTTAACCGTGATTGTTAGTCAACTGGGAATTCAACTGACAACGTTACCAGGAAGATGTCCAGTGACATTTAAGTTAATTTTGTGATAACTGCTTCAGGAATTTTGAAGTTATGCTTGTTTTTTTGTGGGGGTGTTTGTATTCAGTTACATATTTTCCTCTGTTATGGCCTTCATTATAATGCATCCTAATATTAAAAGTTAACAAAAGAAGAAGAATTAGAAGTATTTTTTGAGTGCTCACTCTTTACATACTGTTCCAAATATAAATATTTGATGGATTAGGAAGAGAGAAGAAAATAAATAAAAACTAGTTCCTACTTTTCACTGGCTTAGCTTTCAAAATTAAAAAAACAAAACTGATTAACATAATATTTTGAACTATAGCTGTCACAAGAGACAAATCCTGCATGTACTTTTTTTGCTAAAAATTTTGCATACACAATGGAATTCTTTCTGCCATAAGAAAAGATGAAATAGTTCCATTTGCGACAACATGGATGGATCTTGAGATTATTATGCTAAGTGAAATAAGTTAGAAGGAAAAGTCGAGAACCACATGATTTCACTGATATGTGGGATATAAAACTGAAAACAACAAGACAAATAAATGAAGGAACAAAAACTCATAGACACAGACAACAGCTTACTGGTTACCAGAGGGTAAGGGGGAGGTGGGTGGTAGATGAAGGTAAAAGGGATCAAATATATGGTGATGGAAGGAGAACTGACTCTGGGTGGTGAACACACATTGTGATATGTAGATGATGCATTACATAATTGTACACCTGAAACCTATGTAACTTTATTAACAATTGTCACCCTGATAAACTTTAATTTAAAATAAATAAATAACATTTTACACCTGTAACTGAAATTTGGGATCAAATATATAAACTGAATGGCTTTAGTAGAAGTACCCAGAATTTGAGGCTAAGAAGTCAATGGGGTGATCATTCTTGTGCATAAATGGAGGCTAGGAGGGAAATAAAACAAAAACTAATAATATTAGCATAAACCATAAAAATCTTATTGGGGGAAGAGAATGGAAACTTAATTCTACTTGTAAAAAGCAATATTAATAAAAAAGTATTCCTGTAGGTATTCATCATTATACCTATGTTTGATTTTAACAAGGCTTCAATGTAATAATTATACCTATTGAGAATTAGGCAGGAAATATTCAATATCATCACTTTCCAGATTAATAAATAGGAATCAGTCAGTTTAAATGACTGTCAAACCTTTACAATTTTTTAGTTGTCTTCCGTCTTTTTTATGAGTCACTGTGTTATCTTTTTATTCAATGATGAAGAAGGATCTGTGTCATCAGAGTTGAGACAGACATTAACTAGGATTACAAATTGTGAAAAGATTACAAAGGAAAAGTAAAAGGTGTAACACTGATTATGGCAGAATGATTTATGCTGCGGGATTCAGGGCAGCTTTGCTGAGAAAGTAGAGTTGAGCCTTGAAAACAGCCTAGCTAAGCAAAGGAAGAAGGCCAGAGTTGAGGTTTTCCCAGCAGTCTCAATAGAATCCATAAAATTCCAGAGTTAGAGTTTGGTGATTCAAGGAAGTTAAGCAAAGCTGGAAGACAGTGACTGAAACTCAAAAACATTATGGCGAGGTAAGCCAAGGTCAGATCACAAAATCTTATATTCCAGGAAGGACTTAATAAAAAGTGCAATAAAAAAAAATAAAACAAAGTGCAATAAGAAAGCAAAGCAAGATGAAAATACAGACTTTGATTTCTCTAGTCTTTCATTTTATTGTTTATCTTTCTATTATAAGACTTTGGTAAAAATAAAAGCACATGCTCCTACCCAGATCAAGGTCAATTTATATTTTTTATCTGAGCCTGCAATCCAACTGACTTGTAATGGATAACATGACACCAAACTTCAAAAGAGATGGTTTCTAGCATGTGGTATTTAAAATAAATACCAAGAGTCAGAAGAGCATTTACATTCAATTGACTTGTCATATATCTGATATTCACTTGCCTTTTATAATTCACAAGAAGCTCTAGAAATTTCAAAAACTTTAACAATGAATAAAAATTAGTAAATATTTTTTGTCTTGAGCTAGCACATTTTTCATATTTTGAAATATAATTATGGTGATGTTCATTAATATCATTGTATGAACAAGGATAAACAGAAAATCTTATGTGTAAAAGTGATAATAGCTGATATTGTATTAAGTTAAAGATTTCATATGTCTCTTTTTAAATCAGGAAATCCTTTTCTTTCCTTCAATTAAAGAAATTTTAAATGAGGAATTATTTTAAAGCACTACAAAAGTACAGATAATATGACAATTATCTATTATCCACAACCTAAAAAAAACAAAACAAAAAACATTTTTCCATGTGTGCCTCAGATATGTTTTTTTAAAAAAATATTTAGGAATATTTGAATCTCGCTTTAATTTCATCCTATTCCTTTCCCTCCTATTCTAGAGTTAACCGCTATTCTTAAATTAGTACATATCATATTAGTGTATTTAAAATTTTTAAATTTATATATGTATGTCCACAAAATATAAAACTGTTTAATGTTTTACAACTTTACATAAATGATAACATAATGGCTTCTGTTTGCTCCTGAAATTTCTAAAATTTATCACTGTTTGTACACGTGGACCTATTTTACTCCCTTGAACTATTTTGTGTATCAGGTTATGAATATATTACACCTTTTTTCCTTATTGATTTATGGATATTTAGGGCTTTTTTCTAGTATTCATTACAAGAAGTATGCCTATGTTGAACATCTTTTATATGGGTTGTGGACTTTCTGCCTATTTATATAGACAGGAGTTTTATTGTTTCAGTAGCCCAAGAAAAGTACCTAAATTACCGATATATACTCATTATGTAACTATTAGAAAATTTAGCTTGATATTTTAGACATTCTTGTCCCCCAAAATATACACTTAACATTACTGCTAATATTTACTTCTTGTGTTATGATTTAATGTTTGTATACACATGCACATACATATAACAGTAATCATATCATTTATACTGCTTAGGTAAGACTAATGAATAAAGGAAAGATCTTAATAAGGTTCCATCTAAGATTGAGAAAAAAGAAAAAAAGTAACATTTATTTTTAGTACAGCATGCTAAGTTTCAATGGACTGTTCATTCTCTCAGCTAATGTAGCTAACACTGTTTGATCCAAACATTTTGGTGTCCAAACATTTTGGTGCTAATGTACCAATAGAACTGATTTCCTATAGCTCTAGAAAATCAGTTCTATCATTTAAGATTTGTGTATGCCTCTATGTTTCTTTTATGAGTATAAGCCGAGGTATAATTCATCCTGTGGTATTAACATGATGAGCTATTAGCTGAGCATGTACAACAACACACACAGTTGCATTTCTGAAAGTACTCTTGGAAGGAAATATGTGCCTTTAATCAATTCCACTAGGGCTTCTTACATTTTTGGTAATTAAATGGAAGAGTTTAAATATGGTATTTTTTTACCTACCTGGGTTCAAACTTCAGAAGATTATTTAGAAATCCACAGTGAAACCCTTGACAGAATTATTTTCAGAATTACATACAAAGCTGGACTTGATTTGCGTGTCCTATAGTTTTAAAGGTTGCTATTTTTAGTGCTGTATATTTTAAAGTACACTAGCTTGATAATGGGTAAAAAAGGTTTTTGCTGTAAAATGACACAGAGTCTTAAAGTGACTTGCCCTCTGTGTCTTTGCTGGGTTTTTTAGACAAAGGCAGTGTCTTGCTGTAATGAATGTGGTACTTTTCTAAACACACTTGTGAGTGCCACATACGGAATAGATAGTATTTACTGGGGAAGTTGTAGCAATTGCTTAATGTCAGCAGACATATCAGAAAAGCCAAGGAAAATGACTTTCTATCTTGACAGTGAGATATTACCAGAATAAACAACGTACCTTGCAGTTGCAAGGTCCGAAACAAGGGTCCACATTTGTGCTTCCTTCGCCACTGCAGTTACAGGGTTTACAGTCTGGGTAACCAGTGTAGCCCCTGGCACACCGATCGCAGCTCACCCCTCCAAAGCCAGGCTTGCAATGACAGGACCCAGGTGCCAGACCTAAGGGGAGATGAGCCATATATCAATATTTTTAAGACAAATACATAATTTAGCTAAGATTTTAATTTTTGTAGACTTTGAAAGTTTATTTTCACACAAAAATTAGATTCATGATGTACATCAAAAAAGAAAAGTTAAAAACAAAGAATATAAGGTTTACTTAGAAGCTGCTATGATTTGTATACATAGCATTTTCTAAGTATCTTTAAAAATATTAAGAACAACAACAACAAAAAACCTCATAAACTCCTAGCATCTACCAAAATTAAGGCTATAGATAGAAAAACCACTGCAATGATCACAAAGGAATTTCCATAACTCTGACTGATGATATTAGGTTAAGAATAAGTAATCTGTGCTTACCTGTTGGCTCTTAACCACCCCCCAGACAAGATAGAAAAGTTCCTTGGGAGTAAAAATATACTATTTAAAACAATAATTTAACAAAAACAATATAAATACAACATCACTTAGTACAACGAAGAAAAGGCTCAGAGTGTTCATGGGGATGGATATTTTGAAAATAAAAAAATAGAGGAGGGAAATGAGAGTAGTTTAAATTTACTTTTCTTTTTTAATAGAGAAATGCAGAAGACAGTTTTTCTTCTCTTTGATTAGAAAAATAGAAAAAAAATGCATGCATACATGAATAAATACAAGTTATTGGCCTTCAAAATCTGGAAAGACAGAAGGACATATCAGTAAAATATAGTCCAGTCAAAAAAGAAAAGAAGAGAAGAAAAAGCAAGAAAATGTTATGGTGAGATAGCATAAAACAGAATGACAGAAAGAATTTCAAATATACATACTAACTATATATAAAGTTAAAGAGTCTCATGGTTTCTATTAAAAACGTGCATGTAATGTTCACAAGAGATACACAAAATGACAAGAGATATTAAAAATAAAAGAATGTAATTATACATTAGGAAAGCATATAGAAAAGTAAAAACTGTTGTAATAACATTAATAAGGGCCAAAGTAAAATTCAATCACATTTAACAGGACAAGCTCTCATTTTACATTGATAAAAATACAATATAAAACATGATTTAAGTTTTTATACTTATGCGCTGAATAAGCATTAATTATAAGCATGACAATACGTAAATAACAGGGTTTATTGGAAATTAAAGAAAAATTGTCCAAAATCAATGACTGAGAATGATAATCTTGCCACTTCAAATGTTTATAAAAATATAAATGAATTTTTAAAGATATAGAAAATTTGAATAATCTAATAATATTTATGTTATGTGATATAAAAATATAAATATTTATTGTAGCTTATCCATGACAAATCAATAAAAATGTTCAATTTTTCTCATAGCACATGTTATCTAAGTCTTGTTTTCTTAACATAAATTACTACTTCTAGATTTAACCAACTGCTACAATAAATGAAATTCATAAATTAATTATGAATATCAGAGGTGACAGAATTTTATACAAAATTCAACCTCTCTTTAAATACATACATACATACATACATACATACATACATAAATAGGGTGCCAAAAACAGGTGCCAAAAAATGTACATGCATTTTAAGAAAGGAAAAAACTCTATTAAAATTATAATACTCGATAGTCAAGACATGGAAACAACCAGTGTCCTTCAATAGATGATTGGATAAAGAAGATGTGGTATATATACACAATGGAATACTACTCAGCCATAAGAAAAGATGAAATAGTGCCATTTGGGACAACATGAAGGGATCTTCAAATTATTATGCTAAGTGAAGTAAGTCATACAGAAAAAGTCAAGAACCATATGACTTCCCTGATATGTGGGATATAAAACTGAAAGCAACAAAGGAACAAGACAAACAAAGAAAGAAATAAAAACTCATAGATGCAGATAATACTTTACTGGTTACCAGAGAGTAAGGGGGGTGGGGGGTGGTAGAAGAGAGTAAATGGGGTCAAATATATGGTGATGGAAGGAGTATTGATTTGGGGTGGTGAACACACAATGTGATATATAAATGATGTATTACATAATTGTACATTTAAAACCTATGTAATTTTACTAACCATTGTCACCCCAATAAATTTTAATTAAAAACAATTTAGATAACAGAAAAACTCATTATGTAAAGTTGACACAAAAATGTTAATAGCATTATTTATGCTAAGTTACCACTGCATTATATGCTTATTTTTCAACTTTTTTATTTTATAATTTTTAAACAATAATACATTTATTTTAAAATAAGAGAAGAAAGTTAATTGCTGTTACTGAAAATGGTACTTGTTAGTACAAAAGGATAAGGGACCACAAAATTAAAAAAATTACCTCAAATTCACCATTTGAATATTAAAATAAACAGATATTAAGTCTTTTAGGATTTAAGGCTTTATAGCTTAGATTGATAATCCCACATTTTTATGAAGAAAGCAAGTGAGTTAAACTGTGCAAAGAAATATTACCAGTCTTTTAAATTGAAAGTCTTTGTGGGGGTGGGGAAACCTATAATGGAGTATGGTATATTTTAGTCCTTCCAAAGAAAAGAAGAACCCACTCATAGACATGTAAAAAAACTATTCCAGATATATTCCATGAATTTTCTATTTAACCTCGGCAAGCAACTCTCCTGGAAGTAGCACCTAAACCTCTTATACCAAGGAGTTATTTTGGCACTTGATTCCTTAATGTTTGAAGGTAGTCATGAATTTCAATCCCCAAAGGAAGTATTGGCTTATATTAGCATCTGCCTCTTTCTCTTCTTAAACTCATGCCTACTATCTTTTTTCATCCTTTAAAACACTCCTTGCTTTCCGTATTACTGACTACAACTTAGTATGTGATGTCCTCTAATCATTCTCCCCATTACAGCGAACATATCCTTCAATGAATGCTGTCATTTCGTGATAGAAATGAAAAAGCTACAAGACAATCTAATAAATAACACATAAAAAATTACTTATACCACCAATTTTTGATTGACAGAAGATGCACATGCATAAATATGTAAATATGTATATATAACACAAAATAAATGATTGAGCTCTTCTTGTTTTTAAAGAATTATGCTTAAACATGAAATTAATTACTGAGATGAAAAAACTGCTTCCTGGAGTGAAATTTGAGAGATATGAGAATAAATTTATTACATTAATGTAATTTACTGTAAAGTGTTCTCCCAGAAGATCATATTTGGGTTTTAGTTGTCCTCTCATCAGAACAATGACCTTCTACTATGGCTCTCACCTCGTGGAGCATGTTTTTCATCCTTGACACAGGCTTCATTTAAGGAACCAACTGGATCACAATGGCATGGCTGGCAGGGTCTTGGATAATTTGCAGATACCTAACAAAAACATTAAAATGCTTTTAATCAAGTACAATAAAAACACTAACATTTTTAAATTCAGCAAACTTTTAAGGACAAATTAATTTTAATAATACATAGTAATAAATTATATAGAAAAAATTATAATATAAGAAATTGCTTTTAATATGTTTGCAATTTCTAAAATCCATTTCTTCTAAAGGGATACACAAACATAAAGAGGACAATATAATAAACTCCTAAGTATTTGTTACCTAAATTCAACAATTTTCAAAGTGAATTATTCAACAATTATAAAGATTTATCTGTAAATTTCATCAGATTTTATGCTGTGTTGAAGTTTTTGGGACTATCCCAAAGAAGAGTATTTTAATCCCTACACATTTCAGTATACATCTCTCTAATTTACAATCACAGTATCATTATCATAACAAAAATAATATTTGCTTGATATCTCTAATATGCATTCTATAATAAAACCTTCCTGATTGTTTTTTATTAAAATGTAGTTCAAAATGAATCATTTTCCCCAAAATTTATTTTTCAAGAACTTTTTCACAGTGATCATTATATAATTAATTAAATAGAAATTTATATTTGATGCTTAAAAAACAACAATAAATAGTTAAATTAAAATCTAATTTTCTGGGGAGGCAACACAACCTGAAAAGAAACAATGTAGATCCCATAATTAGGAAAACTTGAGCTCATATTCCAGTGTTGCCACTTCCTGGCCATGTGGCCTCCTGCAATTATTTACATTCTTGCAAAATGAGGACAATTCTAGCAACTACAGTGATGTTACTAAAATGAAAAGGAATAATAACATAAAGCATCTCATAAGATTCTTCATATATATTAAATACTCAATATAACTAGTAGCTTTTAATGTTAGAATATTTTAATTAAACAAACCTAGACTGTATTAATATACTGTATATGTGACATTTATTTTACAGGTGCAATAGGATAAGAAAAAAACTGATTTATTTACCTAGGAAATACTGAAATACTAGTGTGTGTGTGTGTGTGTGTGTGTGTGTGTGTATTTCCCCCTAAAATATATATACATTTTCCTTCCTTAAAATGTATATACATTTATTTGGCGCCCTCAGTATATTATATATACATATATATATATATATATACAAACACACACACACACACACACACACACACGTTTCCCCCTAAAATATACCTTTCATATATGTACATGACAAGGATAAATTTACAAATGAAAACTTGTTTACTGATAAAAGTCAAAGTGTCATAACTAGAGAGTTATTTACATGTGTGATAGAATATCAATAAACTATGTCTATAGATGAGCTTCAAAATCAAATCTGTTTAATACACATTCATTCATCCCCCATTATGAAGTAAGGACTGTGCAAAACAGCAAGGTAAGGCCTAATCTCTGCCTTAAATAAACTTACAGGAATAACAGATTTAAGAGACATTGATTAAACAGAATGTGCTAAGTGATAAAATAGACATACAAGTAGAGCTTTACGGGGCAAAAGAAGAAGGAGCAATAATGCAACAAATGAAGTCAAGGAATGTTTCACAGAAAAAGTGACATTTCGACTGGAACTTGAAGTATGAGTAGCAATTTGAGAGTAGAATAGGGAGAAGTGCTTTCTATACAGAGAAAACCACTGAGACATGAAAAAAAAGTTCTGTGGGCATATGGTAAAAAATTTCTTTTAGATAAAATCTTTGTTCTTATAAATATATTTTATGATTCCAGTGATAAGCTTGAGTAAATCAAATCCTCCTAATTCATTATCTGTCTTTTTGGTAATTAGGGTAAACTGCCTGAATTAGAGTGTTGATCAGGAAACTTTCATATAAGATTCTATAAACATATCTACTTTACATTGATTTTTAATTTTATTCACATAACAATTCAGATTATTAGTACTTAAAGTAAACATTGATATATGTATATACATATGTATTCATATGCATATATTTTATTGAAACAAATATAAGTATTTAGTAGATAAGTCTAAAATTAGATTTTAGACAATAAATGTAAGAGGAAAGTTACTTAGCTGTAAAATTGCAATGTATGAAACTTTTCTTTCTACATTTTCATAAAAATACTATGGACTTCCACCCAAATATTAAGCACTTTCAATTGAATTTTTAAACAAAAAAATATAGCATAAGTATTTTTGTAATTATAAAAATATCAAAATCTAGGCTCAGATTTACTTAAGTACTTGACTTGCAATTAAAAACTTATCAAGCTTCCAGTTTTGATAATGGTGGAGTGTCTTGTATGCATCCAGTACCACCTCAGATAGCAATGATAAATTCTGAACAAAACAGAAAAATCCAAGGACTTGGGAGAATAATCAAAGACTGGCTGAAATTGGAAGGATTTAAAATTTGAAAGAAAAAAAAATACACTAGATGAGATATATGTTCACATAAGGATAACACCAAAATATGCATATCATTACCCCCTAATACTTAACTGATCCCTTAATCATACACTCTTTTGAGACACTCCAAGGAGTCCAGTGAAAAACAATAGCTGAAAAGCTACATGACCTGGGTAAGGTTTCAGGTCTGCACACCATAAAGCAAACAGAAATTGGAGCTAGCTAGAAAGGGCATAAACACCTGAGCTTTCAATGAATCTGCCCAAACAAAATGTAAAAGCAAATTTCTACAATTTCATGACAATCAGTCAGTAAGTTGAGCACTAATTAGAACGAAAGTAACAGAATCGTTTCTCTACAGTATAGTATTCACAATATCTACCAAAAAACTTTTATCTCTAAAGATATGTGTATCCCTATGTTCACTGCAGCATAACTCACTGAGGCCAAGACATGTAAACAACCAAAGTGTCCTTTCATAGATGATTGGATAAAGAAGATGTGGTACATATATACAATAGAATATTACTTGGCTATAAGAAAAGGTGAAACACTGCCATTTGCAACAACAAGAGTGGGTTTTGAGATTATCATGCTCAGCAAGTAGGTCAGACAGAAAAAGTAAAAAACCATATGATTTCATTCATACATGGGATATAAGACTGAAAGCAACAAATGAACAAGACAATAAAAACTCATAGACATAGAGATCAGTTTAGTGGTTACCAGAGGGTAAGAGGAGAGAGGAGGTGGCAAAAGAGGGTAAAGGAGTCAATTATATGGTGATGCAAGGGGAACTGACCCTGGGCAGTAAACACATAATGCAATATACAGATGATGTAGAATTGTAACCTTGAAACCTATGTAATTTTACTAAGCATTGTCACCCCAATAAATGTAATAAAAATACATTTATAAATGTAAAAAAATGCCTCAAAACAATCCAGAGGTGAAAAAGAAAATTAGTTCCCCAGAATTAGAGCTAGAACAAGAGGTTAACCTTTGTAGATCTCAATCATTATTTCACACAACATACAAAGATTTACTTGTGTGTTGGGCCATAGCCCTGAAACTTAAAAATAAAATATTTCTCGAATAAATAAAGAATATTCTGACTTAAACAGAGGCTATACAAGAGAAGAAATTGGAACAGCCAATAAGCATTTATAATGAAAATTAAATCATCATGAAATCTGCTATGAATTCATAATAGTAGATCTGCTGTAAAACCAAGAATTGATGGGAATGACTTAGTGATTGTCAAACACTCACTTACTATACCCATTATTATGCCACACTTACTATACCCATACCCACTGAAATGGCTGATTCAAAAAGATAGTCAACACCAAATATCAGAGATGATATGGAAGAACTGGCACCCCTATATATTTTCGGTGAATAGGTTCAATGTTATTACTAATTTAGCAAAATGTTGGTAGTTTCTTATAAAGTCAAATACATACCTACCCTCTGATACAAGCATTCTACTTCTACATATTTATGCAAAGTAAATAAAACATGACTCTAAAAGACATATAAAATTGTTTTACAGGATCTATCTAAAAACTGGAAATGACCCAAATGCTCACCATCAGAAGAATGGATTAAAAATTATGGTATGTTCATGAAAAGGAACACTATGCAGCATTTTTTTAAAGGAACTCTTGATGGACACAACATGGATAAATCTTAAAATGTTATGTCGAATGAAAGGAGGTAGATGCAAAAGTGTATGTGCTTTATGATTTCATTTTTATGACCGTCACTCAAAGGCAAAACTAATTTATGTTTTAAAAATCAGAACAGAGTTTGGCTGGGGTTGGGATTGACTAGAATGAGACAAAATGGAATTTTCAGGAGAGAGGGAACTGTTTTATATCATATCCTCAAATATTATATCAGTTTCCATTATGAAACATTCTTGGTCACCTTTTATGATCTGAAGTCTATCAAAATTGTTTTTCCATATAATACATCTTTATATGAAAAAAACAAAAGAACACTTAATGAAAGAAAAAGCATACTTTACCCCTTTGGGCCTAAAGAAGCCATCCATACATGTCTCACAGTTTATACCAGCAGTATTTTGGGTACAATTGATGCATACACCTCCTCCAATGTACTTTCCATGTATATTTAAACTCATATTTCTCCTGGCAACATTTTCATCATAATAGCATTCTTCAGCTTTCCCATGACAATTGCATGCTGCATTAGGGAAAAATAAATTCACAAATGTTAATTTCAGGTTTCAGATATATTTTTTAAAAATCATTTTCTATTATAGATTTTCATACTATATGAGAAATATATATGTATACATATATATTCAGCACAAAAGTATCTAAAAAGTGTTTGAATTTATTGGCTATATTTAGAAGTTCACACTTTTTAATGGAACTTCAAATAATTACAACATATAAATTAAACTGAATCATATGAAATTGCCAATATTTGACTGGCTTGATCCCACAAAACTGAAATTTCACATAGTTCAACCTACAATCTCCTATTATGAAAAACAACAAATTATTGAACTATGGTACTGATTGATTAACACCCAGGTAAAATGCAATGAATGATTTTTATGTGTGAATCTCTGTTAGAGATCTTATGGGCAAAAAAGATTGTTTAGGATATAGTTCCTTTCTTTCACTACTAATAATAACTAAAACAGGATTTGTTTTATATGTGTGTGTGTGTGTGTGTGTGTGTGTGTGTGTGTGTAATGTTTTAAGTGCTGATTTTAATTCTCAAAGTAGCTTTATGTATCTGGTAATATCATTACTCTCTTTTCACATATTAGGAACCTGAAGCACAGAGAAGTAAGGAATTTGTAAAAGGTAACCAAATCAGTATTGCTAACCACTCTTAAACCCAGCTCCAGAGTCTGCATAACTAACCACTGTCCCAGTCCCTTCAAGTTCTATCTGATGAGAGAGATAAGAGGTATGATAAGTACCAAATCACAAGGATAAACGAGAGCTGATTTGCCTAGTGGCTGAGATTATGCTTTCTTGCACCAGTCTTGAATTTGGGTGTCCTCTCTATTACTTTGTAACCGTGTGATGTAGGGAACCTCTTAATTTCACTAATGCTCCATTTCCATGTAAAACATGGAGTGATCAAAAATAATTACCAGATATTAAAAAGCTTTGAGAAAATGCATGTAATATCATTAATATAAGGCTTTAAAAATAAGTCTCAGTTGATATTTCCTCCTCCTTCTTCCCCTTCTCTTCTTTCTCCTTTTCTTTTTCATGTCACTTTGTAACAGTACAGAAAAGTGGAACATCACTTCCCCAGGAAGAACTGGGTAAAGCTTTGAAAAATGGGTAGAATTGATTTAGGGTAGGAAGTAGGAAAAAGATAATGTGCTGAGTGTCCTTCCTCAGATTTTGAGTTTCTTAAGTGTCCTTACATTGATTTCCACAAATTTATGAGAGAGAGAGAGAGAGAAAGAAGAGAGAGAGAGAGAGAGAGAGAGAGAGACAGAGAGAGAGAGAGACAGAGAGAGAGAGAGANTGTGTGTGTGTGTGTGTGTGTGTGTGTGTGTGTGTGGTATGTGTGTACAGCATACAACTCAATCTTTCTTTTTCCCTTCAATAGGGGACATTTATATACTGGTGAATTTTATCAACAGTAAAGAGCATAGCTCTTTCTCTATTAGCATATCAAATCCCACTAGTAGGCAGTTACACTGTTTCCATATTTCTCCTTTGTAAACAACACTGCTTAAGGAGGAGGTGGAGGTAGGGGTAGGAGTGAAGGTTCTAATGGTAGGCTGCTCCCCATTTGACAACTGAGTGACTTAGAGGAGAAAATTCAAGTCTCAGTATCATTTCAGTGCTTATCTTTTATGGTTGTTTTGAGACTCCAATACACCTAACACAATGCCTGAGACTTCATACTCAGCTCCATGAATGTTAGTAGGAGTTGTATTAGCAATTTTGTAGTAAATGACAAGGATCACGGTAACATGCCCTGTACAGCTATACAAGCATATCTAACACCTTCATTCCTGCAAGAATAATTTCTAGTCAAGAGGGGTGCAAAATTTTAATTTTGATTTTAATTAGCTTGAAAAATTCTCCTCCAAAAATGCTGTGTCAAATTACCCTCTCTCCAATAGAGATGATGAAACTCTTCGCCCTCCCATAGCCTCACCAACACTGTACATCATCAACCATTTTAATCCAGTTCCTTGACATCATAAGCATTCAAACATTTGCTGAGTGGTAGAATGAATACTTTCATAAGTTAAAAAGAGTATTTTCATTGTTTTAATTGGTACTTCCTTAATTACGAATGCGATAATGTTTTTATACGGTTTTAAGTCATTTCTTTTCCTGAGAAATGCCTGTTTTGGTCTTTGCTCATTTTAACAAGTTTATTGACTTTTTTTATTGCTATGTAATACCTCTTAATATAGTAAAGATATTATCTCTGCCATGTTTGTTGCAAATGCTTTCCCCAGTCTGTTGAAATTTTATTTAGAATATAAGATTTTTGCTATATTGATGGAGAGTTTTCGAACTTTAGTCTACAGAACATATAGTAATAAATGTAAATCAGTAGGCATTACAAGCAGTTTTATATCATTAGGACAATACACAAGAATTCTTAAAGAAAACCAATGATATGCACCTAAGCCATAAAAACAAAGAATTCTTAAAAATCCTCTTGTAAAAATATAGTGCAAGAAGCAGTCAAGATTTTTGCTGCCAATATAAGTAGAGGGAAATAGAGAGTAATACAAATTTATTCTCACATTATCAAGAATTAGTGCTGCTGAGAGTGTTTATAAACATTAGCTAATGTAGATAAAACACTGATGCTTCAGCAGCAGTCTTTTTCACACTCCATGCAGAGAGGGCCCTTTTGCCTCCAGCCCTGGCTGGTCTCTAAGGGCCTCGTTCCTGCAGAGCCTCAGAGGACACGGATAGTGCCCATTCAAAGACCCATTTCCCCTCTGTCGTCAGCAGTTTGCCATTTCACAGAATGTCCAAGACACGAAACTGAAACTGTCCTTTAGTATAGGCTTTGCATTGGAACAAATATCCTTTGCTCTTTAGAGATATATCATGTCTTAAACAAAATAGATTGGTGAAGATTCAAATCAATTCATTTTATAAAAGTATTTGTCATGTCTCAAATGGATTTTTCTAACTATTAAGATGATTGGAACACAATGTAATTTGGAAAAGAAAATTTTCATATAAGCTTTTAAGAATACATGACATTTATACAAAGTTTGATGGTTAAGACTTCTATCTTAATTTTTGGTTTAAAAAATATATTTTCAATTTGGAAATAAAACCTCCTATCTGCCCCAAACACAAAAAAATTTTTTTCAGAATTCCACCATTTTAAAAAATGTGTATAGTAGCCAGTAGAAATCTCCTTTCATGTTAATTTGTTCATCCCTGTTGCTAACAAGTTTGACCTATACTTTTTCTTTCCTTGTTTAAACACATATATACAAGTGGAGAGTGGCAAAGGATTTTGCAGATCCACTTAACATTACATAGTTATAACTCTGTGATAGAATGTCAGAGGCAACAGGAAGAATCCCTACCATCAAATGTAAATACGACTCCCCTTATTGCCGATATTCCACAAGCACAAGAGAAATTTAATTAAAATCTAAAGAAGTTTGAGAGCAAATATCTATGGGTGGCAATTAACATAAATTCACTCTCATTGGGAGAAGCAGTAGAGAACCAAGAGATTGGGGTAGGACATCAGATTCCCCTCCATAACAGTGGGGAGGGGGAATGGCCCATTCCTTCACATACATCTCAGTAATCATGGGTGATCTCTAAACCGAAATATATCACAAGCAGACCGACACAGATCAAAAAGCAAAACAGGTGATTGCAGAAAATGAAGGGACCCAATACATGGGCAGTATATGCCAAATCTTAAACTGAAAAGAAAATATATTTTATGGTTGCAGAATATTTTGTGATTAAAGTTTGCTATGATTTAATAGTTTTAAAGACCTACCATGTCTGACACCTGATACATGATAAACACATTTAATAAATATATAGAGTTGGTATTAATTAAAAAAAATGTATCTACCAAGCCTGCTCTGGAAGTCATATATACCTACAGAACTAAAAAAAGCAATGTGGTTAGGACTGATTCACCAAAATATTAATATTTGAACTCAGTTGAATTGGGCCTTGGAATTAGAGTTTAGCACAAGCCTTTGTTTTTAGGTCTTGTTTTAGTCTGAACAGATGTCTAGAGGCACAGGTTACTCTAGCATCCCTGTCGCCATGTTGGTCCAGTTGGCAACATCAGGCTATAAAGCCATTTGCTACACTTCTTGGGTATTTCCCTTCAGGAAAAATTGGACATATGGATTGTCTTCAAAAGTGATAATATTAAAGCATAAATGAGTATTTGCTGGCACATGTTTGCATAGCCAGTTGTTTTACTGTTTTTCATAATGGCTTTTTTCTGGGTGATCACTGTACAATAATTGCTAAAGCATAGTTTATGCTAATGATTATCACTGATGCCATTTCTAATATTAGCATTTTATATTGTTATTAATGAGAAATGATACATTTAAAATACTAATACTTATTAAGATAAATGTTACTGTTCCACGAATTTGATTTCTTGCCATCTCTGTTACCTTTTACTCTCATACTCTTCCAAGGTACTGCCCCCAAATACCACCACCCTTCAATAAGTTTAACTAATGAATCAAAGTTTTTGTTTTTTTTCTGTTTCAAACCATCTGTAGCCTATAGGGTACAATCATTCCCCTCTGGTTTTCCTCCTTTTATTACATGATGGGTATTCAAAAGCCATTTACTAGGGGGTGGGGGTAGAGTGAGGCTACAAAGGGAACAGGCAGAACTATCTGGAACTATACTGGTTTCAGAACCATTTTCTAAACATAATAAGTTTAGAAATCCAGTCTCTCAACAGTCTACGTTTTGCTGATTTTTTCTTTTTTTACATTTCTGTTAGTCTACATATACATTATGCTGTAAACTTCAGTTTCACCCCGATGACAACTATATACTATGCTTCTATCTATGTCTCATAATCCTTACACCATGGTAAATTCTCCGGTGTTTGGTAAATATTTTCGAAAAAAAAAAATGAAAGAAAATGACAACAATCTGAAAAACTGAGTAACAGAAAAAGGGTAAAAGAGCTTACCAGGAATTGCCTTGGATAAAATTTAGAAACTGGAAATATATGCTTACCTGAAACCACCACATGTTTATATTACCTGTGTCCTAGAAAAGGAAGAATTACACATGCTGTTGGCTTCTCAGGAACATACCTTCACATTCAGTTTTAGTCAGGAAAGTCCCGGCTTGCCAAGGTTTCTGATGGAATCCTGGACAGCACTGATCACAGCTATCACCACATGTGTTATGCTCACATTCACAGCGGGATTTCTAGTAAAAAAGAGGGGGAAAGCATACTTTTAGCAGTTTTTAGAACCATAAATTAAAAACTTCCCCAGCAAGGTAGAGTGAAGAGAAAACTTCTAGAATAAGTACCAAAACATAAAACTCCTGTCAGTTTGGGAAGGAGGAGGTATCAGCTTTGAGAGCAGATATATTTGATCAACACGAGATTAGGGAGGTCTAGCCTTGTTCTGGAATCACTGGACTTCAACTTGGAAGAGAGTAGAGGCCCAACTGGAAGTGGTCTTGAAGACTGAGAGCCCTTCTTTGATGCGTGAGAAAGTTTTCTGGGTTGGCTGTATCCATTTTAAGGCATCCCTCAAAGTACTGTTAACATTTGGGGGTGTGGGCAGAAGGGAGGGAGTTGAATCCCAGGCATCGAAGGGCATAAAATTTAATTATAACAGAAATCAAATGTCCCAGGATTGACTCTCCTGTCTGTGTGTGCTCCAAGAACATTCTCGATTCATCCCATGGGACTGTCCCTCCAAGGCTACCCTGTGGGCTCTCAAAGCTCAGGAAACACTGCCCTCATTACACCTGATAGACAGCACCCACACCCTGCAGATAGCAACACCACAGACCCACCCAGATAAATACACCAGGGCATTTGAACCTTCCCTGGGAGGTAACATTATGATGCATTAGTCAGAAAACTAGCTTTGAGGGAAAAAAATCCCTTCTGTATTACAGTTTTAGTAAGAGAAAAAAATCTATATGTAGGGAGCTATGTTCACTGATCTCACTATTCAATATATTTCTTCCATATACTGTACAGCAAATGATTTTGTATTTCACCAGTTTGTTTATGACTGAAAATAAAAGATGCTCATTCATCTTATTTTTAGGTTATGTTCACTTAATATGTTGTCATTAATGAAAAATTTGACCCAAAATCATTCCAGCATGCTCTGGTCTGGCAGTTTCAATGCTCTCTTCCACCCCACTCCTTATGGCCCCGGCCCTACCTCAATCTCCTGTTACACGGCCATTTATATTTACTTCCATACCCAGTTTTCATTTGTTTGCATTAATTTTTTTTGAAAACTTTAAAAATAAATGGTCAAGTTGATTGATGGCAGGCATTCCCCAAAGCTAAATCATACAGCATGCTGTCATAGCTAGCGGGTTTTCAAAATAGATATACTAGTTTAGAGTCTTTTTTGAAAAAAAACAACAACAAAAAAAAAAGAAAAAGAAAACAACTAATCTGTTTTCTAGTACTGTGATGGCTGACTTCAAAGTCTATCATCCTAACCACCAGCTCTATTTCACCCTGGCACAGCTTTCTGTTACGCTAAGTGGGGACCTGACACCCATTCACAGAGCGTCCTTGTGGGCAAAGCCTGTCATGAAGCATTTTACAGTTCCGAGATTCATTTTGCCTAAGTGTCCTATAAATATACATACATTTGTCACTGGATCAAGTGGACAAGCCCTGGCATGGCCATAGCAGATGCACATCCCTCCAACAGAAATATCTTTGACCGAGTAGTAATACTGCAAAAAGCAATCGAGAGAGAAATCCTGTTAAGATGACTGGAAGGTGAAAGCAACAAAAGGGGACATTCAGTTAAAAATTTTACTTTCTGATTTTATCCTTAGTTTGAAGCACGTTTGTGTTCCTGCAGGACAGAGAACTCGCAGAAGGGATCAAAAAACTAACTCCTCACACTGTAATCATAGCTTCAAAAATGAATGCCTCTAATTTATGTTAGATGGACATTTGAGAATGTTTTTTCCCACAGACAGTACAAAGTTCATGTATCTGTTTTTGAGAGCAACTTGTAATAATTATTTATAAAAGTTGTTTGAATTTCTTGAAAGGAAACCTTTTTTATTGTCATTACCAAAACCTCAGTATTCATGAATCATATGCAAATGGTTTTGACAGAATTGCAAAGAATCAACACATTTAGGGAATGTGCTCATAACCATATATTTCTTACCCATATTAAGAAGGAAATAAAAAAGAACTCTCAAGAGTGAATTATAATAACATAATATGAGGAGTAAATTAGATGTGCATAACACCTTTTTTCATTACTATGTTAAAATGTCCATGCAATTACTTCCCCATCTGAAGTTAATATAGAGCTATGTTTCTGATTATTTTAATCTACCAAGTTATTTTTAAAAGATGATTTATAATTATAGAACTGGACTATTATTAAAAATTTAATTAATGTGTATATAATATTTTATAATTGTGAGAGTATTTTTCATTACCATAATGAATCCAAGTAACAATCTCAGTGGCAGACAGTTCTATTATTCCAATTATTCACATAAAAACATTTAGAGATAATAAGTAGGTGGACACAAATCTGAGTTCCTTTATTACAAATTCCCCTTTTCCATTTCTTTCTTCTTTGTTTTGCTTGTTTTTATTTTTTACATATAGTGTCTTTTATAATATTTTTGTTACATTACCTTACTTGATATACCTAGACCTCAAATTAATGGAACTTGCTAGGAAGTTGAGATAATGCAAAAGTTTGCTTTTCACTAACTTCATCATGTAATAATGTAGACACAAACAGGGATATTTGCTTGGAAAGCTGATATGGTCATTTTTGCAGATGCTCCTAAAATTGGAAAATCTATTTTAAACATACATGTATCATGCTTCACTTTTGAGTTATGAAGAGGAGCTGAAATTCAGTATCCTATTTTTATATATTTAAATGTACATGTAATATTTACTGAACTTTACTTTCAAAAAACATATTTAAGTATTGAATGTTACCACACTATTTTAAAGGCTCATGTACAATGAAGTCGTAAATAATGGATGTTCACCCCAGTCCCCATTATGCCTTCTGCAAAAGATGATTAAAAGGAATACATTTATTTCCATTGATTTTTTTCCTCTCTGATAGATATACTGTCAGGGAAGATTAAATTTCACTTCAAAATTATTCAGTCTTCCTCTGTATATATTTTTAAGTCATGTCAAAATTATAATTAAAAGTAATTTTTTTAACAAGTGAAGAATCTAAACATTGCTATAAAATAATGATTACTTCAGCAAAAGACAATTTACAATACATGAAGTATAATAAAAGGTAAAATTATTTTAGGTTTGGAAAATATGGACACTAAAACAATGAACATATATGGGAATCATAAAATTTTAGAAGTTATTTTGTAATGATGGTGGTTTGGTGTGGATAGTTTAATAAGAAGAGAAAATCTATTAGGGATATTCATAAACCATGAAAAGCACTGCCCTTCAATATTCAGCCTAATGGTCCATTAATTTGGCAACTGTTAGCAAAAGTCTGACCTCAGTGAAACCATTTTGGAACTAAGTGCTTTGTCCCACAATCTTAACTTCTTCCTACAATCGACTTTCACTTGCACCTCTAGTCATACAGTAGATACCCTCTTGGCATGGATTTACTTTATGGACTTGTAGCTGAATTGACTCTCTTGGTAATAATGTCTAATAGCAGCATATATGGGAGGTGACATAAACCAGTGCATGTGGCGAAGGATAAACAGGGGGAAGTGCAATTATCATTCACAGCAACCTGGGCTGATCATCTATGTCATAATCCCACAAATTCCAATTTAAAACTGGAACACAGCACTTCTGTTAGCTCCTGTTTTCAAAGATCTGTTGAAAGGGTGCTATCAACTTTTTTCTGATATTCTATGCACAAAGGAAAACAAAACAGTGTATAGAATCAGTTTTCCCCTCCAGCAGTGCTTTTTAAAACTATGGCTTGGGATTCATTAGTAAAGCAGAACACTAAATTTTTTCATTGGACAAAATGGTCCAAAGACCAGTGACATCAACATTACTGGGAATTTGCTAGAATTTCAGTTTCTCAGCTCTGCCCTAGACCTCCTGAGTCAGAATCTGCATTACCATGATATTACCAGCTGATTTTATGCACATTCAAGTTTAAGACTTATTGGTGTGTATGTATGTTTTATTGTGTGTGTGTGTGTGTGTGAAGATGATGATATAAAATGTATTTAATAGTGTGGGTTGCAGCCAAAAAAGTTTCAACTTCCTATAGTAACTCCCCAAAGCTAATTATAAAAGTAGCTCAGATAACCTAAAGTGACAAAACAATCCTCAAAAATAAGATTATGAAGTAGGCACTATGATCTTCATTTTACAAAAGATGAAGTCAAAGTTCAGAAATATTAAAAAATTTGATAAATGTTATACAGCTAATAAGTGGCTGAGCTTGAATTTGAACAAAAGGTCTATCAAAATTTAAAGTCTTTGATAATAACCACTCCTACGAATCATGGAAAGATAGCTTTTAAAATTATTTAACAGGCAGTTAAAAAGAAGGGTGCAATATCATTCACAGGCTGCAATATAATTCATCAAAACTTACTCTTCGGGTGACAATGGGGTCAATTTCTCTTGGGTCCTTGTGAGCAAACATCATCAAATCAGCATTCAAGGTGCGGATCCTCTGAAATCTCAGGCGAATATAGCGAGCGGAGGTAAACTCTAGCAGTTCAGGAGAAGGGTCATCAGCACTTGGTCTTCCATTGATCAAAGAGATGTGAATCTAGGCAATGTGGGAAAAAATTTAACAATTATGTTTACTAAAAATGAAATATCTGGTTTAATTTTCTTTTCTTGAGAAAACAAAAAATAATACACTTCTTTTCTCCCAATTAATCATTCAGATGCAAGTTCATGTTTACTCACTGAGATGTAGTGAAGTAATTGAGGAATTTTAAGGACCTTTTAATACATCTACATGCAATTCATTTGTTTATATTTTAGTTATTCTCCACATATTGCAATTACCTGTATTACTCTGTTCCAAGACATTATATCTGCTCGACCTTCCTAGGATTTCCATAAATTCTTAAAGCAATCTAATCTTTTTCTGAAAATTATTGTGTCTTAAAATTATTTACAAATCAGGTATACATTGGGATACCAGAAAACTTGTTTTAGAAAAAGTTACAAAATAGACAAAAACAGGAGCTCATAGATACTTAAAATAATTCTGAACTTGAAAGTATCTAATTATATAGCCTTAGTATATAGAGAGTGAAAATTGACATATTGCAAGGAAAACTAGACAGATCATAGTGAGAGATTTCAATTGATTGTTCATTTGTTGTTTGTTTTTTATTATAGTAATTGCTCCATCAAAAAGACAGAAATGCATTGTCACCCCAATAAATGTAATAAATAAAAAAGTATCAAGAGTATAACAATCTATGAAAAGTAGATGTATGAAAATAAAATAAAATTTGGGTGGAATGGTAAATTTGTTAGGAAAATAATTTAGAACAAGTGATACCATAAGAAATAAAATCTAATTATACTGTTATCCATTTATGAAATGGAGAAATTGCCAAGAAACTACCTTCCAAATGTACATAAAGCCCGCATGCTCTCACAAGGATTTCACAAGAGCAGGAATAAACCAGTTTGGTAAAATAAAAATAACTACCACAGATAAAGAATATTTTCCCTAACACCTAAAGAACTCCTATAAATCAACAAGAAAAAAAGACTAACAATATAACACAAAAAACAGACAAAAAGACATAAGGGGATTATTCAAAAAAATAAAATATAAGTGGCTGTTAAACTTTTGATAAGAATGAACTTCATTCATTAACAGAGAATTGTTCATTAAAACCATAATAATAAACTTTTTCCTTTTTTTTCAGGTGGTCAAATCCCCAAGATACTGCTAATACTCCCTGACAGCAGGACTGAGGGGGTACAAGTCATTCTCATACACTTACAGGTATGAGTGTTAAATGGCACAAACCCTTATGAAGGTTCTACTTCTGGGAAATTATCATATACATACACACACACACACATACACACACACACACACACACAAGAGTATATATATTCTGACAGCATTGTTTGTAATAGCAAAAGATTGAAAACATTCTAATACCCATCAATGTACAACTGGTTAAATAAATTATACATCTATATAGTGAATTAGTGCACCATGAAAAAGAATGAGGAAACTCTTGATACACTGATAGGAAGAAGCACTTTCACTTTTGTTTTGTTTTGTAAATGCATTATTACCTATGCAATAAATTAAATCAAATCAAAATTGTTAAAGAAATTGAAATTGAGTGATAGGTTTTGGACTGAAAACACACAAACACACACACACACTCACACACACACACACACACACACACGCATGCACAGGAGGCTAAAGAGACAGAAAGCAAGACGGAAGGAGTCCTGTGCTGCTGGAAGCTGTTTGGGAACACGTATGTACTGGGGAAACTGTGACATGAGATCACCCACTAGAGTTTTCATCTACTTTTGCAAAATGATATATCATGTGTGTTAATTACATTTTTGACAGCAGAGGCAATGATATGTGTTTCCATTCCTAACATCCTGCATTTAGATAATCCCTGAGAGCATTTTACAAACTGACTGGCAATAAACTACTGAGTCACTAGAGAAATAAATGCAGCAAACTCCAAGATGAGAAACTAATTCTGATGTCACAAAGTATAAACTCAAAATGCCTCATGATAAAAATATAAAATGTCCCACCTAATTGAGTCTACCTTGGATACTTAGTAAAGAATAAATTCACTTAACACATTTGAGGATGATAGAATGCAAGGTCTGCTAAAACACAGAATCTAAAATTACTGGATATCCTTGCTGTAATGTAAAAATTTCTAAAACAGCAAAGTGGATCTTATATATTCAACAGTTCTGTCATCTATCAGATGATCCAGAAATGTATTCAATTAAATTGTCTGCATTACTTAAGAAGCTACCAATTAATTGTTAAAATCATGAATAGATATATGAAGCAATTAAAAATTAGCTCCCTTTATTAATTTAATAAATTAATTTTGGCATCTAAAAAAATCACCAGTGCTCTTGAATTCATGCTTAAATTTCTGTTTTATCAAGCTCTCCCTTGAATGCTCCTAAAAGAGTTTGAAAAAAATAAAAAAGAGGAAATCACTGCATGTCTAGGGTTAAAGTTTCTGAAAATTATTAAGGTTTATTTGGTGCTAATTCTATGGTGAACCGTGCTTGTGGCTGTACATGAAATCAGTAAGTTCCTCATTTAAATATACAGAAACTTTAAATAAATGTTGTACTTATTCTCATGTAGGTGAATAAGCCCTGTGATAGCTACACAAAGGATTCAGCAAAGGAACACTTCTCACAGCTTTGGTATTTTCATCGAACTACTCTGCCAAGAGATCTTGTGAGCATAGTTAGTCCCAAGCTGTTTTGGGGATATAATACCAGCCAGCTGTTTGGCCACGCTGTGAGCAACTTCCATCCAACGGTTTCTATTTTTTTTTCTTTTTTTTCCCACTCTCCTTCAAAATAAATCAAAATATTGGAGAGTATATTTCCACTGTCTTGATGCTGTGTAATTCCAAGTCCACTGGAGAGTTTAACATACTTCCTGGTTTCCTGAGGGTGACAACTGGAGGGAGGGTGTCCATCTTCAAAAAAGATGAAAAGTATCAGTCCTCAAGACCACCACTGTCTAGCTGTGAGGCCGTGGGAAGCCTGTGGCAGTCTAGTGTCCTCTGAAATGATTTTGATTACAGACATGTTGGTGGGTGTATGTTCATGCTATCAAAGGATTCATTCCAACTGACAACATCAGCCTGATTAACAACCATTTGTTTTTTAGGTTTTAAAATGACACTCATGTTTGAAATTAGTTTTCACAGATAAAGAGAAAAAAAAATATCTCATGAGTTTATGACCAAAGGACTAAATCAATATTATACTCTACTCATCCAAATAATTCTGTTTTTATTAGTGTAAGCATACTGTATGAATCATGTTTTTATTGCAGATAGATGAACATTTGTGCCTCTATGGCATTTTTACTTTTATGGTTAGAATACAATTTAAAAATGGTTTCTGGGGCTGGCCGAGTGGCACGTTGGTTAGGAGTTGGCTTGGGATGCCAGCTCTGAGCAGCAGGGCCCCAGTTCGGATCCCACATATGAGGACCAGTGACGCCCTCTACAGCAAAGATGGTGAACAACAGCTCCTTGAGCTGGGCTGCCGTGAGTCGCCATTGACGGAGTAGACTGCAATGGGGATGGCCAGCAGCGGGCATGAGCTTTCCCAAGCGGCCGTCCAATGGCCCGTGAGCGACTGCCTCACCTGCGAAGAGCGCAGTGATAATANCCCTCCCCCAACACATTTCTATGCTAGGCATGCCTTTACTACCTTGTTCAAGATTCCAAGATATTTTCTCTGATTTATTTAATCTCTTATCTTATCCCCCCAAAATATAAGGTCATTTATTCCCTGCACCTAAGACAGCATTTGCCACATAAATGGTAATCAGTTTGTTAATGGAAAAAAAAATAGCCAATGTTGAAGAATACTCACTGGCTATATAAACCCATCAAATGTATTCACATCAAAACACTTGGTGGTTGAATTAAAACGGTGTCCCAGCCATAGTTTCGATGCCCTATCTTTTTGGTAATGAATTTGCTTTGCAGCGATTAATGTGTGAGTTACTTCACTGCATTTATAAGATAAATGGAAGCAAAATATAAAATTACAAGAAAGAGTAAAATGTTTTTCATTCACTGATAAAAAGAACAAATGTAGAGATAATGAGAAAGGCAAACTGAAATCAATAACATGTTTTTTTTTCCTTCAAAAAACAATAGAGTTGTTGTTTTTTTCCTTAACATAATCTTTAAGAATTTTTACCACTAGTCCTGCAGTAAGTAATTCATCCTGAAAAGAACAGTGGATAACTGCTCTAAGTAAGATGCCAGATTTAAAAATATTTGAAATGCCTCTAAGAAGGTGCCAACTGTCATTCCAGATACAACTAACATCTCCACATGATTATGCAGCACATATCAGGGTACTAGAATGTGTTTGTGTAGAAACAGATACATACACACATGCTTTACATATTATGAGCCAAAACAACACAGTTCTCAAACTTATTACTCATAACCAATATACTTTCAATTTCCACATAGCTCCCCATGGCACCAGAAGTAATACCTGATTATTCATATGAAAATGCTATTTGTTATTCTCCCAGCCACCAAAAAAGAAGAAATAAATGCGGTATGACTCATTTTTAGCTTAATATTCACCATATTACTAACACAGTAAAGACCTTCTCACAAAAACTTGTATAAATNTAATGGCATTAAAAGGCCTAATCTAGGGCATAACTAACAAGATGATTTTATTTTTCTCAAGCATACAATTTCTGAATTTGAGGTTGTTAGCACCTCCTTCCAGAGCTTTCAGTTTTTACTCCAGGTATCAGGAGGCTCTGCCAGTTCTAATGTGTATGAAGTTCAAGGAGATCTTTGGAATAGCAGATACACCATTGAAAACACATAGTGATCACATATAACCATGCTGTAGAACGGAAAGTCGTTAATCCACAGGGATGACTCATGCTAAATTAAAATATTTGATTTAAGTAAAAATACATGCTAGAAAAGAGCATCAAAGAAGTTTGAAATAAAAATTAGAAGTGTATCTGAGGTCTTCAAAGGAAGAGTAAATATTTTTCTTATT